CACAGGTACCTTTCTCGTTGGTCAGTTTGAATCAAGTGGGACAAGCTGTTCCAGCCCCCCACAGAACTACAGAATTTCACAGAAGTGGAAATTTCCAGGTCCCAGGAAGTTAAGTCTACAAATTTCTAAGAGCTGAGTCCCACGGAGAGGACCCTGCAGGTGCATCCTTGTGGTCTTCTTGAGAAGGCCTCTGTTCTCCTAGATGTCACCCTTCCAGGGTATCCTTTCTCACTACCTCCAGAGTCCACATTCCTGTTAATGGGGCAAAAAAGCAAACCTGTAAAGAGGTTTATTCTGAGCCAAATATGAGGGACCATGACTGGGAGGTCCTCAAATCCAAGAAGCTTTGAGTAAGTGGTCTCAGATGGTCAGGTTACAGTTTGATCTCATACATTTTAGAGATGCCAAAATTGTGGATAAAATCATATATCAACACAGGGAAGGTGTATACACTGGGTTAGTTCCACAGGGTGGGATAGCTTAAAAGGGTGGGATAGCTCAAAGGGTTTAAGATTCTTTGAGTAGTAAGTGGTGAAAGAAAGCAAGCTTTGGCTTGGAGTCAATAGAAGGCATGCTTCAGTTAAGGCAGGGAGGTCTCTTAATTAGAGAGCAACAATATACCTACTTAAAGTGATCTGTTAAGCAAATTGATAGCCAGCAGGCAAGACTTACCTTTTGCTTTTCATGCTCTTAGGTCCAGTTTGCCATTAGTCTAAACTCCAAAAGGGAGAGGATATAAGGGGGAGTGTCTGACCTTCCCTTCAGGGCCAAGAACTCAACTGTAAGGCTTTTCTGGGCTCTTCTTGGTTAAAAGGGGGTCTGTTCAGTCAGTGGGAGTGGAGGGAGTTTGGGATTTTATTGTTAGCTTACACTTCTTTTTTTCTTGGGAAAATTCCTCCTTTCTGTATGTTATTTGAAGGCAGTCCCTACTATAATACAGAAGTAAAGGGCCAATTGTCCTTCTCCCTCCTATCAGAGATGCTAAAGGGGGTGGCATATACATGTGCCTTTAGCTTTGCCAGTGAGATTCTTGCTCTGAAGACTCTGACCCTTGAGAAAATGAACAGCAACATGGAGACATTTGGAGAGCCCACTCATTATGGCAGCCACGGTGGGCAGAACAGACCCATCTGAGAGTCTTTTCTGACATCCCATTAAAAATTAAAGCCTCCCATTTCTCAAGGTACTCCTTATTTTTTTCCCTTGTTTTCCTTTCTACCATCTGAAATATTTTTTATATAATTAATTTGTTTATTATCTGGCTCCCTCACTCCAATTTCAGTTACATGAAGGTGGAGATCCAGTCTATTTACTGCTGTGTCTCTAGTGCTCTTAAATGCCTGGCATATAGTAGGCACTCAGTCGCTATTTAAAGGAATGAATAAGTGCCTCATTTCTGTGGCCTATCCCTCTGGAGCTTTCCGGGTTTCTGACCTTTTTATGAAGCCCTGTTCCTCTAGCCTGCCATTGACTCTATGAGCCCTAATAGCCTAATCAAGAAATTATCCCATTCAGCAAGTTAGAGCATTTTCTCTGCACAACAGTGTATTACAGGCTTCTCCCTCACATTCACAGCCGCATTCATTACCTTTCCAATCAAACCTTTAGGCATTTCAGCAAAGGACAACACATATATCATTTCCTTAGCTAGAAACAAGGTGTCACTCCTTGGACTTGGGAACCAGACAGTCCCTAACAGAATGCAGAAGAGCCATATACTTAGCTGTGTGACTTTGGGGAACATTGTGTAAGTTCTATGAAACATGTTTTGCCTTTTTATCTGCAAAATTAGCACATTAACATTCATTTTCCTTGGCTGTTGTAAAGATAGTACAGAGCTTGGCCCTATTGTAGGTAGTTAATAAATAATAGCTATAACCAATAGCTATTAGCAATTTCTGTTGATAATACCTCAAAGTAATTTCCTTTCTAGTCCCTCTGCCCTACTTCATGCC